AAGCTTGTGCTTGTGTAAGGAATACTGGTGATGGATCCAGCCCAGTTTGTTTCAAGGCTTAAGTATATGTGGCAGGATGGCACTTTCCCCCTTATCATTTCTTCCTTCCTCCCCTTCCTTGGAGGGGATCCTTGATAAAAGAGGGAAAGAGACTAAGACAGTTTGTACAATGAGGCATGTCATGGGAGGAGAGGGTTAGTATTTTAGCAAGAGAAGGGTTTGTATGTGTTGTAGAGCTACTACCTGTTTTTATAAATAAAGTTTTATTGGAACATGACCACACTTAATTGTTTATATACCATCTATGACTGCTTTCAAGCTGCAAAGGCAGAGTTAGGTAGTTGTGACAGAGACCATATGAACTCACAAGGCCTAAAAATTTTACTATGGCCTTTACAGACAAAGTTTGACAACCTCTGTTGTAGTGGTTCTCTCTAAGTAGCCTGAAAGGAGCCCAGGAGGAACCAGTGGATAGGAAGGACAATGAGAGGAGGACAGTAGTGAAATGCCTAAGGGCCTCTGTGGAGTCCAGCAGAAGGGAAACCAGAGAAGTGATTCCTTATTGCCCATTTGAGTTGGGTTCTATGTGGATTGAGAGGTGATTCTATTTGAAATGTAAATAAATATTTTAAACTTAGTATATATTTGTAATTTATAATATTTATATTTCTTCCTGGTGATGGACATTATAGTCAAAACTATGGACTGTTTGCCTTACTACTTCCCATAGTAACTAACATTTACTGGATACGTAACGTGTGCAGCACTTGGTATCCATTGTACTATTTAGTGTTCACAGTATTCTATGAGATGGGTACTATCATCTCCATCTTACAGATGACAAACCTAAAGTGCAGAAAGTTTAGATAATGCCCAAGGTCATGGAGCTGGTGTCATTGTTAGGTGCCGTTGGGTAGTTTCTGACTCATAGTAGCCCTGTGTACAACAGAACAAACACTGCCGGGTCCTGTGCCATCCTTACAGTCGTTGTTATGCTTGAGCCCATTGTTGCAGCCACTGTGTCAGTCCATCTCATTGAGGGTCTTCCTCTTTTTTGCTGACCCTCTACTCTACCAAGCATGATGTCCTTCTCCAGGCACTGATTCCTCCTGATAACTTGTCCAAAGTATGTGAGACGAAGTCTCTCCATCCTCGCTTCTAAGGAGCATTCTGGCTGTACTTCTTCCAAGACAGATTTGTTCTTTTGTGGCAGTCCATTGGTATATTCCATATTCTTCGCCAACACCATAATTCAAAGGCGTCAATTCTTCTTTGGTCTTCCTTATTCATTGCCCAGCTTTTGCACGCATATGAGGCAATTGAAAAAACCATGGCTTGGGTCAGGTGCACCTTAGTCTTTAAAGTGACATCTTTGCTTTTTAACACTTTTCAAGAGATCTCTTGCAGCAGATTTTCCCAATGCAATGCGTCATTTGATTTCTTGAATGCTGTTTCCATGGATATTGATTGTGGATCCAAGTAAAATGAAATCCTTGACAACTTCAGTCTTTTCTCCGTTTATTATGATGTTGCTTATTGGTCCAGTTGTGAGGATTTTTGTTTTCTTTATGTTGAGATATAATCCATATGAAGGTTGTGGTTTTTGATCTTCATCAGTAAGTGCTTCAAGTCCTCTTCAGTTTCAGCAAGCGAGGTTGTATCATCTGTATAATGCAAGTTGTTAATGAGTCTTCCTCCAATCCTGATGCCCCTGGCCTTGTTATGACTGATGATATTGAGCTTTTCCATCTTCCCTTTCCACAGAAGTAGTCGATTGGATTCTTGTGTATTCCATCAGGTGAGGTCCACGTGTGTAGTTGCCATTTATGTTGTTACAAAGGTATTTGCAATGAAAAAGTTGTTGGTCTTGCAAAATTCTATCATGCCATCTCTGTCATGGTTTCTATCACCAAGGCCATATTTTCCAACTACTGATCCTTCTTTGTTTCCAACTTTTGAATTGCAATCACCAGTAATTATCAGTGCATCCTGATTGCATTTTCGATCAATTTCAGACTGCAGAAGTTGGTAAAAATCTTCTAGTGTTACAGACATGATTTAAATGCAAGCCTTATTGTTACCAAAGCCAACATTATAAAGCAGTGTTTTTCAAACTGTGGGCTATGAAATCAGTTGCAAGTTACAACTAGCTTTTTTTTTTTAATTAAGTAGAATGGAAAATTCCAGAGTACATCATATGTAGTATGGATAAGCCTTGATATATGAATCTTTTAGTTATAAAGATATTTATTTACACACGCATGCACACATACACATTTCTGTGCACTTGCTCACAATGTAAACCGTATTTCTTACTGCCATAGCCAAGCTTGAAAGCAAATATTCTTTCCTTGGGTAGGGAGAGAAGGATGGGAGAGAAAGAGAAAGAGAGGATGAGACAGAGGAAGAGCAAGAGCTAGAGATGATGAGTGAGTGAATGAATGAATAAATAAGTGTCAAAGAGACAGCCTCAGGGAGAGGGGGAAGTGGGTGGGGGAAATCCAAGGAGGGGGGAGGAAGAAAGGGAGGGAGACTCAGGGAGAGGGGAAAGAAGTAGGTGGGGAGACTCAGGGAGAGAGGGGGAAGTGAGTGGGGAGACTCGGAGAGGGAGAAGAGAGGGAGGGAGGGAGACTCAGGGATGGGGGAAGAGAGGGAAAGAGACTGGGGGGAGGTAGGTAGGGGAGATGTAGGGAAAGGGGAAGAAAGGGGGGAAGGAGATGTAGCATGGGGGTTCTGCCTGCCATTCCACTCAGCAAGCATTTGCCCCTACTTGAGGCACACTGGAGCCCTGAACTGCTGCTGTCCTCTCAGTGGATTTTAGTTTTCACATACTTCCTCATTCTGTAACCATCTTGTCATTCTGAAGGTGAGTCTAATAAAGGTATGCATTTTTCACAAAAACATGGACTCTATATACAAATTTCATCTGGTGCTCAACTGAACAAGGTGGATTAGAAATACCGAGAGAAAGTATGAGATTCTCCAGTATACCCCTCCCTAAGCAATTGACAAAGGCAGTTTTTAATATATGTAGTTTATGTCTTTTGATCTGACTGTTTTGGATTCCACTGTGCTGCCTCTTGTGTTTTAGTGGGAAACCACACATTAACCGATTTTAAAGTCTCCTATTGTTGTGGAAAGAGGGGAGCCGTGGTGGCACAGTGGTTAAAGCACTCAGCTGCTAACCGAAAGGTTCAGCAGTTTGAACTGCTCCATGGGAGAAGGATGTGGCAGTCTGCTTCCATAAAGATTTACAGCCTTGGAAACCCTGTGGGGCAGTTCTACTCTGTCCTATAGTGTTTCTGTGAGTTGGAGTCGACATGATGGCAATGGGTTTGGTTTTTTGGTATTGTTAGGGAATTCTATATCCATTAAGAATTTTACTTTTCAAAGGATTCTGGAGTTAGCTAATGAAAAGTCTGTTGTTACAGATGTGGAAATTGAGTGAACATTTGTATAAAGCTTACCTAGTTACAGGCTGTGTTCCTAAGAATTGTATTATCGAATCCCCATGTCTACCCTGCTTGATTGCCCTTATGTCAGTTTTACTGGAGAACTTGGAGCTCAGTAAGTTTAAGTCTCTTGCCCAGGTTCTCATCTAGAAGGTGGTAGAGCTAGATCCAAACCTTGATTCTCTGAACCCAAATTCCATATCTTTTTCCACTAGACAGAAAATGGGAGCCCTGGTGGTGCAGTGGTTAGGCGCTGGGCTGCTAAACAGAAGGTTGGCAGTTCAAACCTACCGTAAAGATGTGGCAATCTGCTTCTGTAAAGATTTACAACTTTGGAAACCCTATGGGGCAGTTCTACTCTGACCTGCAGGGTTGCTATGAGTCTGAATCAACTCTATGGCAAACAGTTTTGGTTTGAGTTTTTGACAGAAAATAGCAAAATGGAATGAAAAACAGTGCTGTGTATTATAATTTAGGATAATTTTGTTTATAAGTCAGAGTATGGTACAAAGGCTAAAATGCCCACTGTTTTACCATGGCTGGGTATCATTACGTAATTTCTTCCTCTCCCTGCCCAAGGATATTTTTCTATTTCTAGGTCCCCTTTAGCAAATTGGAGTTGATATCATTATGTTTTTTATGATTCATTTTTTAGCCTGTCTTGTTTGAAGATTGTTTGAAGCACCAACTTTATTTTAATTACTAATAATGTTGCACGAAGTAACTTGGGTAGCCACTTCTTGGCATCAGCTTAAGTGGGTGTACTTTTTTTTTTTTTTTTAAATAAATGCAGCCAGTGTGTAAATGTGAGTGAGTAGGATCCACCAGAGTGAACTCCATCTCTAAAGCCTTCATAGCCTGTGAGAAAAGAATGGTAAAGTTTTGCACTGTTGGCCAAAATGTCTTGTTATAAATTAGATCCATATTGCATGGTCTCACTACTAACATTTTCTTTAAAAAAAATTTCCAGGAAGAGTGCTGGCCTAGCTCCACTCCAACTGCCTCTGCTAAAACTTTAATGTGGGTTGTATAATAGGGCCCTGCGGCCAGGGCTTCTTGCTCTGTTTTTGTGCCTAAACCAAACCTGTTGCCATCCAGTCAATTCCAACTCATAGTGACCCTACAGGACAGAATAGAACTGCCACATGGGGTTTCCAAGGAGTGGCTGGGGGATTCAAACTGCCAATCTTTTAGTTAGCAGCTGAGCTCATAAAAACTGCGCCACCAGGGCTCCCTTTTGCACCTTAGTCTCTTCATTTGTAATAAGGATTCATACCTCTGAATGTGAAGACTTTAAAGCAGATAGCCTCGTCTTGTTCCCTGCTTTTGTTTGCCCACCTTCAAAAGGTGGACTCCCCTCTCCATTCTTCTGCTGATTTCTTTTTGCTGAACGTTAATTACATTCAACCGGGTACTTTCATGAAGCTAAGATTCAGCTCTACACATTGCAAACAAAATGTACATCTCTGGGAAAACACAGGGGGATCCCAACCTCATTATAATTTTAATAAGTGTTGGGACCTGATTGTTGTTTATTCTTTATTTCAGAGATCCCAGAAGACCCACTTGTGGCTGAAGAGTATTATGCCGATGCATTTGATTCCTGTTCTGAAGAGAGTGAGGAGGAGGAAGAAGAAATAGTGTTCTCAGAGCCAGAGGAAGAGGTCAAGGACCAGGAGCCCCAGCCTGCTTACAGAACAAACCAGGTACAGGCCGCTCCCCACCCGAAGTAGTGGAACTGATGGGACTGTGACCCCGAAGAGAATCAAGAGAGTTTTATAATGTGGAGTGGGAGGGTGGAGGATTGGAGATTATTATAATGCTCCAAAGAGCCCTGGTTGCACAGTGGTTAAAGCACTTGACTGCTTAACCAGAAGGTTGGTGATTCGAACCCACCAGCTGCTCTGAGGGAGAAAGATGTAGCAGTTTGCTTCCCTAAAGATTTACAGCCTTGTTAACCCTGTGGGGCAGTTCTACTTTGTCCTGTAGGGTCGCTGTGAGTCGGCATTGACTCCACAGCAGTGGGTTGGGTTTGGTTCTTTATAATGGCTCCACAAGGCTTTCCATGGGATAATTCTTGATTTAGAAGGTTCAGAGGCAGGTGGGGCACCATGGAATCCTGAGATCTGGTCCAGACATGTTGATGAAGGGGGAAGGGCAGCACCATTCCTGACTAGCCTGTGGCTAGAGGAGACAGTAGTTACTGGATATGGGGAGAGGTGCACTGAGGAGCATCCCATATATAGCTTTTGAGGCCCTTTAGTAGGGAGAAGGAGACTTTTTTTTTTTTTTTTAACTTTGCTGACTGGTAATTAGATTTGGGAGTCATGTCCCAGTGAACAAATATGTAAACACTGGTTTAGTTCCAGGGATGAGGCCCAGAGATCCTGGGCTTAGGTTATGATCTTTCTAGCCACTTCCACCTTCTGAGGGCCCATCCTTACATCTTGGTCATAAATCAAGGAATAGCCCTGACACATGCTTTCTCTGTTCGATGTCTGTAGGGGAGGAGAAAAGCAAGAGATAAATGAGGAGAAAGCAGATGATTTGGGACATTTTATGCTCATATACTTCATTGTCTTCTTAGCCCTTAATCTGATCACCCTTTCAATCCCAAACTTCACAAGGCAGAGAAGCTTTTTATAAACTGGGAACCATTAAGTCACAAAAATAAAAGTCAAGCAAATCACAAAAATAAAAGTCAAGCAAGGGATACCTGAGTCAATGGAAACTTAATTGGGGTGTGATTTTTGGAGAGGAGAATGGTTGTACACAGTCTACTCAAACATTGTTAATGAAGACTAAGCAATACATCATAATATTCAGTAAATACAATGAATAAAAAATGTTCTCATGTTCTGTATAAGAGGAGAGAGAGGCAGGGAGAAGGGAGCCAGTAGGGTATGGGTATAGGGCTAAACAGAGAAAGAGATGAGAGAAAAGGAGAAAAGATGGGGGAGGGAGGGACAGAGAAAGGTAGTCTGAGAGACAAATATATGAAGAGAGAAATAAATGTTGAGAGAAATCCAGGGGCAGGGAAGGGAAAGGGGAGGGAGACAAATGGCAGGCTACTGGCTCAAGTCCCATGAACTGGAGGTCAGATGATGAGGAGCTAAATGCAGGATACAGAGCAAAAGCCAGTGAGCTTTGCCAGAAAGTCCATGTATATTGGATGCAGGCCACCCAAGGAAACTCCTTTTCAACTGCTTGGCTGCTCATAGCAGATCTCATCATGAAGCTAACTACATTATATCGGATCTGATCGTGGAGATGATTACATCATTACATAACAGTCAAACCACTGAAAATCATGGCCCAGCCAAGTTGACACACAACCTTAACCATCACAAGGATTAAATGAAATAATGAATGAAAAGTACTTAAAATAGAGCCCAGAATTTAATGAAGTAATGAGATAGTAGCTATTATTATGAAATTATCCAGCCATCTTTCAGTCTTTTTATGATACTGCCAAAATTCTTTAATGATAAAATGAGATTTTACAACAATAGTATAAAAAACATCCCTTCTTATTATTTCTTAAGACAGATGATAAATACAAGGGCGTAAGTTTTGCTCCCAGAATTGAGCATCTGTCACATATTATGTGACAGCTTGTGATTGATCTTAAATAATCTACTGGGCAGTAATCTAAGGCTTCTCACGTGTATTTTGTCTCACAAAACCCTGTTGGGTAGTTATTCTTATCCTTATTTTCCAGATGAGGAAACTGAGTTTCAGAGAGAGAAGCAACTTGCCTGTGGTCACCTAACTCGGGAAGGGTCAGAACCATGTACCAGTCCCAGATCTCTCACCCAAGCCAATATTTTTTCTCCTACAGAAGGTTTATCAACCTCGAATAGAACTGCATAAGAGAAACAGGAGTGGAAATCACAGCAGAGTAATTTATATTAGTGACAGGTATTACAATCCCGTTTATTTTTCCTAATAATTTGATATAATTTCCCCTCTCCAAAGGTGGTGAGTATGGAGTTGTGATGAGTGTCAACTCTCCCCTCTTTAAATTATTTTATTAGCAACACACAAATAGCGACTAAAGAATGCAATGCTGGGATCCCATCATTTTTGGCTTTGTGAAATGGGTGAGTCTTGTGGCCATCTCTGGGATTTGCCTCTTCGCCCCATCTCCAGTCTCCCCTTGGCCTCTGAGTGTGCCATGATCAGTTCAGGTGCTCATCATACCAGGGCTTTTATCTGAGTTGATTCCCCTCCTCCAGCCGGGGCAAAAGTCACATCATCTTTACTTTGATGAGAGAAGAACTTCAATCCAGTGCTTTCAAAAGGAAAAACAGCCATGAGCTTCATTGTGATTGATTGCTGAGCCCCTTGTTCCGCCCATGACAACCTTTCAGTAGCAGCAGGGTCTCCACAGCACAGTTTTATTAAGCACCTCATTGCTGTTGATCGTCAGTTGTTTCTCTGCTGTGATAAGCAGAGCATCAGTAACACCTTTTATCACAAGCCATTATCAAATTGTTGGTAGCTCCTCTGGGAAGTCTGTGGTCACTGAATTGGAATCAGCCTCTTAGATCTCAGGAGAATACTGTTTATAGCCATCACCATAACAGGGTTCTTGGCAATATTTGTGGGACCTGTCACTAAAGAGTGTTCCATGCGTTCTCATGTTAGGGCTGAAGGCTGATGGGTGTTTTTGTAGACTCTTCTGTGTTTTCCCTTACTGCCTTGACCACATTTTTCTTCTCTGAAAATAACTAATGTCCCAAGTGTGCCAGTGAAACACATGCTAGGTAGACCATAATGACTTGACACAGAACTCCCTCAAGAAAGGACCTGTTTAATGGATGTGACTTTCATTGGAGTTTTAAGAGGGTTCTTCAAGACCATGGTATTTGTTCTTGTTAAGATGGACTACAAAGACACCCATTTTTCCAGCTCAACCTGAAGTTTTCAATACTTTTTCTCCAAATCCTTCAGTGATTTTGAAATTTTCTCTGCACAGTGAAGCATTAGGAAAAGCAGTGATGACCTTCTGCTTGGAACATTGCCACAGAGGCAGAAAGATAGATATGGGGTGGACAAGGCCTAAGATTCTACTGAGGACTCTCAGGTCAGAACATCATGAGGGTAGGTGCCTCTAGGAGCATCTTCTGAAAGTGGAGTCATTAGCTTAGTGAGGTCATAACTATTATAACAATAACATCTAGCATTTCTAGAACCTTCCTTCTGTGCCCAGTACTTTATATGCTGTGCCAATTCAGGTCCTCCGGGAAGCAGATGACAAGACAGAATTAGAAATGAAAGGGAGGTACCTGTGAAGTAGGTAGGGAGAGCCTCAAACTATGATGCTGGCCTGATACCTTTGAGGGGAAGGAAGGGAGGAGCGCTGGATGAGAAAAGCTTTGGACTGCAGTGCAGTTCAGAAAAAGTCTTGGCCAGGCTGATAGGGAGCCCCAGGTCAGAGACTCCTCCCACAAGAGGAGTCCCGCACTGGGCAGGAATGACCTGCCTGCAGTATTCTCGCCATACTCTCATTGGCTGGGTACAGCCCACGGAGAGTGAACGCTGCAGCGGATCCCGAAGACATCTGACAATATCCCTTGACCTTTCATTCAGAGATCGAGTGCCCTAGAGTGAGAATGAGCTGAGAGCTATAAATCTAAAGTGCCCCCACTGCATCTCAGTTTTTGTGCATGTCTCACACTGTGAGCCTCTTTGCTTTGAATTATTGCTCTAGATTTAATCGTGTTTAAACAGGCATAGTTTTCATATGATGTACTCCTTAAGTGTAGTCAGCTGTTTCATTTGCCGCTCAGTAAAGAAGTAGCATTGGAGAATTGTTTTCTGATAATTGATTATTTCATTAAGCACAGGCTTTTACACCCAGCTTCCCTGAATCAAGAGACTATCATGATTACTTTACACAAAAGGAAACTGAAGTTTGGTGAGGTGAAGCAACTTCTGCAAAGCATACAGCTAGTAAGTAGCAGAGCTAGACTGTCTAACTCTGTTTTTAGCCCCTTTTTTACAGTCTTCCATCTGCACAACAATTAGAATTCCTCCTCCTCCATTGCTGATGGAGTCAAACACTTCAGGTGTGAGGGGATAGCCTGAGGGGCCGTTAACATTATCTGCTCCTCTGGCCAGATCTGTTTTCCTGAATTTCTGAGCTATGTATGAGGCAAAATTTATACCAGTCTAGGAAATTGCAGGGTTCTGAAAATTAAAAAAAAGACAACAACAACGACCCGCCTCTCCCATCCGTTATGGGTTGCAGATTTATCTTCTCCTACTATGTTCTTTATACAAGGTGCCAGAACTCTTGAGTGCAAGTAGTGGGGCTGATTTACCTGCTAATTTAACATGATTAGACCTAGTTAATTTAACTGCATACATGGGAAGAAACACTTTTTGTCTTGAATTTACTTTAGAGGTCATCAGTTCCAATAAGCAGCCAGCCCAGCTGTTGTAGGCTGTTGACTCATTTCTCCATCAACGTCCTCATCCTGCATCCCAGGCTGTAGAGCAGCCAACCTTGTTAAAGCGTTAATGGATGCTCACGGTCTTGTGTGTCATTCCTTCCAGGTAACGAGCCTTCTGTGGACCCAATATATGTTGCTCAAAGGAGTGACTTTTATATGAGAATTTCTACACCCACCCCTATTCCAGTTCCCATTTCCATCATGGCTGTATTCCCTTCCCTCTTTACCATTTCTTGTGCAGGATAAAGTATAGCTCACTACTGGTCAGATTGGGCCCAGTAAAACCTTGTTCTGGGGCCTAGTACACTGGGCTTTGTAGAAGTCCTTAGTCCTTAAAACTTTTAAATTATATCTGCTATTGTGTTTAGGGGAGCCCTTGTAGTGCAGTGGTTAAGAGATCATGCTGCTAACCAAAAGGTTGGCAGTTCAAATCCACCAGTCGCTCCTTGGAAACCCTATGGGGCAATTCTACTCTGTCCTGTAGAGTCACTATGAGTTGGAATCAATTCGACGGCAATGGTTTTTTTTTTTTTTTTTTGGTTTATTGTGTTTAGCATCACACCTACACTTTCTTGCTCCAGTGCCAAAGCATTATTCATAATTGCCAAAAATTGGAAGCAGCCAATATGCCCTTCAATAGGTGAATGGATAAACTGTGGTATATCCACACCAAAACCAAACCAGTTGCTGTGGAGTCAATTTTGACTCACAGCAACCCATGTGTGTCAGAGTAGAACTGTGTTCTGTCGGGTTTTAGTGGCTAATTCTTTGGAAATAGATTGCAAGGCCTTTCCTCCAAGGTGCCTCTTGGTGGACTTGAACGGCCTACCTTTCAGGTAGCAGCTGAGCATTTAAGTAACAATGTATTATTCAAGTATTATTCAGCAATAAAATAAATGAATTACCAAGCTATGAAAAGGCATTGTGGAACCTCAAATGCATATTGCTAAGTGACATAAACCAATCTGAAAAAGCTACATACTATATGATTGCAACTCAATGACTATCTTAGGCTAGGTTCTCTAAAGAAGCAAAACCAGTGAAGCGTAAATATATATATATATATATATATATGGTGCCCTGGTGGTGCGGTGGTTAAGAGCTACGCCTGCTAACCAAAAGGCAAAAGGTTGGCAGTTCGAATCCACCAGCCGCTCCTTGGAAACCCTATGGGGCATTTCTCCTCTGTTCTATAGGGTCACTACGAGTCGGAATCGACTTGACAGCAATGGGTTTTTTGGTTTGCATATATGTGTTGCTAAGTGCTGTTGACTCAGTTCCGACTCATAACGACCCTATGTACTACAAAATGAAACATTGCCCGGTCCTGCGCCATGCTCACAATCGTTACACTTGAGCCCATTGTTGCAACCACTGTGTTAATCCATCTCGTTGAAGGTCCTCCTCTTTTTCACTGACCCTATATTTTACCAAGAATGATGTTCTTCTCCAAGGACTGATTCCTCCTGACAACATGTCCAAAGTATGTAAGACATAGTCTTGCCATCCTTGTTTCTAAGGAGCAGTCTGGTTGTACTTCTTCCAAGACAGATTTATTCATTCTTCTGGCCGTCCATGGTATATTCAGTATTCTTCACCAACACTACAATTTAAAAGTGTCAGTTCTTCTTCCATCTTCTTATTCATTGTCCAGCTTTCACATGCATATGAGACAATTGAAAACACCATGGCTTGGGTCAGGCATACCTTAGTCTTCAAGGTGACATGTTTGCTTTGCAACACTTTAAAGAGGTCTTTTGCAGCAGATTTGCCCAGTGCAATGCGTGTTTTGATTTCTTGACTGCTGCTCCCATGGGTGTTGATTGTGGATCCAAGTAAAATGAAATCCTTGACAACTTCAGTCTTTCCTCCGTTTATCATGATGTTGCTTATTGGTTCAGTTGTGAGGATTTTTGTTTTCTTTATGTTGAGGTGTAATCCATACTGAAGGCTGTGGTCTTTGATCTATATATAGAGAGAGATTATATATATATATAAAAAGAGATTTATCTCAAGGAAATGGCTCACAAGGTTGTAGAGGCATGTCCCAAGTCCATGGGTCAGGCCTCAGGCAAAGGCTAGAGGCTTCTCCTGATACACGTAGCTGAAGAGGCTGACGAACCCAAGATCCACAGGTCAGACAGCTGGCTGCTGGCTTATGGCTGTGAAGGCTGACGAATCCAAGATCAGCAGGTAGGATGGCAGGCTGCAGACCCAAGTCCCAAGAACTGGAGGTCAGATGCTGACGAGCCAAATGCAGGATGCAAAACAGAGCAAAACCCATTAACCTTTCCAGAAAGTCCATCTATATTGGATGCAGGCCACACCCCCAAGAAAACTCTCTTTCAACAGATTGTCTATGCAGAGAAGATTCCATCATGGAGGTGATCACATTATATCAGATCTCATCATGGAAGTGATTACATCATTATATGACTGTCAAACTACATCATAATTGCCAAACTACTGAAAATCATGGCCCAGCCACGTTGACTCACAACCTTAATGATCACAGTGGCATTCTGGAAAAGGCAAAACCATAGAGACACTAAAAAGATCAGAGGTTGTCAAGGGGCCAGAGGAATGGAAAAGGGATGACTAGGTGGAGCACAGGGCATTTTTAGGGCAGTGAAACTATTCTGTATGATACTGTAATGGTGAATACATGACATTATGCATTTGTCAAAACCAATAGGATGGTACAACATACCCTAATATAAGCTATGGACTTTAGTTAATAAAAATGTATCAATATTGGCTCATCAGTTGTAACAAATGTACCACATGAATGTAAAATGTTAATAATAGGAGAAACAGTGTACAGTGGGAACAGGGAGTATGTGGGAAATCTGTATTTTCTCCACAAGTTTTCTAGAAACCTAAAACTACTCTATTAAAAAAAAAGAAGCAGCAGGAAGAAGACAGGGTGGATAAAGACAGAGACAAAGCACAAGTGACCAGGAGAGTTCCTTTCAGTGTGGAGCATGGTAAGCTCACCAGCTTTCATGACCACCCTATTGGTGGATGAGCAAGGGAACAAGATCCTGTCCTGTGAGGTGTCTCTGTGCTCTGCTGTGGGGTCCTGCAGCATTAGAGGTGATGGTGGCTGAATGGTTTATGCTGATTTTTATAGAACTGATAAGACTAGTTGGAATGGTACCTTTGGTACCACCACTAATTCCTGTCTTCCTGGCTGTCATCAGAGCTCAGGTGCTTTGACTATACAGGGCACAAAAAAGTAGCAAAAAATACGAAAGTCTTCCTAAACTGCCCTTGTAAGCAGAAAAACTAAAGACTCATCCCAGTGCTTTGTGATTCAGTTACACAGAGAAATCGGATTTTATTTCCTGAGTATTTTATTCAAGCTGGAAAAGGGAGAGAGTACCATTTCATGGTGTCCAGCCTGGGAAGAAAATGGTGTGACACAGCTGGGACATTGTTGGAGGAGCTGCCCTTCTGACATGACCTGCTAGTCTGGAAGTACATGGGTCTGTGTTATACCTGAGATAACAATAGTCCAGGCTAATAAAAATACAGCTACCTTACAGCGTGCCAGATGCTGTGCTAAGTCCTTTGCATGCACCATCCTGTTTTATACACACAGGAACTTTATGAGGTTAATATATTCCGTTCCGTTTTACACTGGAGGGCCCTGTGAAGCAGAGAGGTTAACTGACTTGACCTCGGTCACCCAGTCCAGTGACAAAGCTGGGATTCAAGCCACTGAATTCTCATTGTGTCAACTCTTAGACATTTTGGATAAGCCTAGAACTTAATGTAGAAGTCAGTAAAGGAGTCTTTAAAAAGGAGATGCTTGGGACCTGATGCACAGCTCCAAAATGTGGGAAAATGGAGTCTGATCTGATGATCGAAAATCAATGCGTGAAACACAGGACCAAGCTTTTCACTTACTTGCTAGGATGTCAATAGAAATAAAACTTGAGTCGGCGTTGAAAATAGTAATCTACTATAAAGAAGTGCCTCTCATGAGGGCTACCTTTTGGAATGTGAAAATGCTTTCTCTTTTTGTTCCAATAAATCTCTCTCAAATTGCAGGCCTTTCTTTCCTAGCCTATTGGACTGAGAACATGTAAAGAGATAAGTAATTAATCAAGAGTAAGGGTGCAGGCCCATAAAACAAACACACAAGAGGAACGTACTTCTTAGTTCAATCAAGTATACGAGACCAAATGGGCAACACCTTCCCAAAAGCAAAGAGTAGAAGGCAGGAAGGGACAGGAAAACTGGACGAATGGACACGGGGAACCCGGAGTGTAAAGGGAAAGGGGCAGAGCACTGACACATTGTGGGAATTGCAACCAGTGTCACAAAATTTGGGCATAAAATTTTGAATGAGAAGCTAATTTGCACTGTAAGCTTTCACCTGAAACACAATAAAGTTAAAACAACAACAGCAACAAAAAAGAGTAAAGGCAATATTGGGAGGGAGGAGATTGATTGGAGGCCACCTTACCACCACCCGCTGGAACTCTATAAGTGGATTTCCCGAAGGGAGCAAGGGCCACCCCAGCTCCTGAAAAATCTATTGCCTGTGTTCGTGGGCTGGTGTCCTGGTGTCGCTCCATCAGCCCTGCATTCTTTTTCCTTCTCTTGATCCTTTACATTTCCAAACCATAATCCGAAATGCCTTAAGAGTTCTGTGATTGGATATCTATCTATAAATGTCTTTGAAACCCTATAACAACCCTGCAGACACCAACTCACTGTGAACTGAAGCCTTAATAAGAGACAGCTGCAGTTAGAAGGCTTTACTAATGCAGAGTAAACAAGGCATTAGCAGTGAAATGTGGACACGTTGGCAGTCACGTTTCAGTGATTCTGAATTCAGTGACAGGGGCGTTTAGTGTTATGGGAGCCGGGGGCTTGTTTGCAGCTTGAGTTTTGCAGATGTCACTCTGTGTTCCTATCCCTGCACACACTTGAAGGCCTCTTCTCCTTGGCAGAAGGTGACCACCAGCAGTGAGATAGGAGGAAAGAGCTTAGCTTCCTGGTTTCAGGGCAACCCCCACGAAGGTGCCATCAGCTCTGTCTCATGGCTTTGTGCTCAACAGCACTCTCTCTTCCCATGAATTATGAATGCAGATACACGAGGGCTTGGATTCTAATGAGATCAAACTGAGATGTGAAAGGTGCATCTGAGTGTGCAGAAAATGAATAAGGTCACCTTGGCGTTTTGGTCTCTGTAATTTAGTGACTTTTTTCAGGGCTCTTGTGGATATGGTATGAAGGAGAGTGGATAAGAACTTAGTATAGCAACTTGCAGAAAAGAAAGTGAGTGGGTTGTTCCTTGAATCATTTATTTACACATGAAATATTTGAGTGTTCTAGGCACTAGGTATACTATAGTGACCAAACAGACACAGTCCTACCTTTGTGGAATCTCATGCTGTCTTATATATGTAATGGTATTTATAGACAGGCAACTCCCAAATGTGTGTCTTCCAACCTGGTGTCTCCCCAGAACTCTAGACTCACATATCCAGTCTGCCCAGGTGTGGGATTGGGGTTAGAAGACAAGTGGTCTTCTTTCTAATTGACACCCTGAGCAAAACATGTCCAAAATGAGCTCCTCACATACTCCAGCTGCAGCTCAAATCAGGAGCCCTGGTGGTATAGTGGTTAAGAGCTTGGCTGCTAACCAAAAGTTTGGCAGTTCGAATCCACCAGGTGCTCCTTGGAAACCCTATGGGGAAGTTGTACTCTGTCCTATAGGGTTGCTATGAGTTGGAATCAACTTGATGGCAATGGGGAGCTCAAATCCACTCCTTCTGCATCAACCTTGACTGACATCCTTTTACTCATGTTCCACAGACAATCTATAAGCAAAATCTGTTGGCTTGATCTTCAAAATATATTTAGAATATGACCATTATTCAGTACCTTCACTGCTATTGCCAAAGCCACTATCACCTTCCCAGAGGATTCTTGCAATAGCTTTAACTGGTCTCCCCATGACTTCCCACCTATCTCACTCAAAATAGAAGGAAAAGTCTTCTCAATGGCCTCTAGCATCCCATCATCCCCACTAGCTCACTGAGGCCTTCTCTATCACCATGAGAATCACTCTCGCTCACTCCACTCCAGTTACGCTGACCTCCTTACTGTTACTGGAACACACAAGGCATGTTCCTGCCTTGAGAAGCCTGCAGTGCCCTCCCACCAGACTTGCAAGTTGTTTCTCCCTTGCTGCCTTCCAGTCTCTACTGAAGTGTCACCTTACTGGAGAGAACCCTGACCACCTTATATAAAATAACACTTGCTGGCTTGAGAATTCTCTCCTCCTCTTCCCTGTTTTATTTTTCTGTATAATCCTATCATCATTGGATTTACCCAGTCTTTACTTGCTGATTCATTTATGGTCTGTCTCCGCCTATTAGAGGACAAACTAATAGGGCAGAGATGTTGTCTGTTTTATTCACTGCTGTATTCCCAGTGCCTAGAACAGTGTTTAGTACAGAGCAAAGAATCAGTAGATCTCGTGGAATGAATGAATGAATGTATGAATGAATGAATGCCTAGAGTATACAGTCTAATGGTACAGGTAGCCAGTAAAACAGTACACAAACAAACACATACAAGCAAATAGGAAAAGAAGTTGAAGTGACAGAGCAAATGGGAGATGTGGGGAGATGTACTGAGAAGGGAAGTTAGGGGGAGTTCCTAGGGGATGATTTTCAGCTGTGACCCGAAGGATAGAAAGAAGCAACCCCTGCATATAAGGAAAGGGAGTTGGAGGAGAAGTGCTTCAGCAGGAGAGAACAGTATGTGGGGTGGCCCTGGGTCATGGAAGGGCTTGGCAAGTTCGAGAAACTGTATAGTGAGCAAGAAGATGGTATGAGATGAGGTTGGAAAGGTCAGGTCAGCTGTAGCTATATAGTGAAGGCCTTATAAGGAGTGTGGATTCTGTTATAAGTGAAAGGGCAATGTAGTGAAGGGTAATTGAAACAAAGTCTTAAAATGAATCTATGACGATAGAAATCAGAACAGTGGTACCTGAGGGAGGTGAGGGCCTGAAAGAACTCTCTGGGATGATAGAGATGTTCTTTATCTTATATTGGGTGGTGGCTACACAGGTGTATACATTCTTTAAAACTCATTGAATTGTACACTTAAGATCTGTGCATTTTACTGTATGCAAATTTTACTTTAGTAAAAGTAATACATCATCAACA